GGAACTGGTACACTCGCTCTCCCATACAGCCTGGGGGAAGTTCACGCGTTTAGTATTATTTTTTCATAGTAGAAATAGGTTTTATGTGATTATGAATTATAAGAAAGATTATGCATTGATTTTTTTACATTCCTCTATATGCTAAATACATCATAACAATACATATGCACTAAATTTATTTCATTCCAGAGCGTATTTGTTGTTGGTGCTTGTCTTGAACGCGGCCAATAAAAGAAAATCATAGATAGAATATTGTTTGCATGAAAAGAGGAAAACGTATAATCTAAAGCAAGGGCGTCAAACATGCGGCACATCTGTTATTGCAGTCTTATAGTCGGCCGGGTTACATGATTAATTAAGCCAGTCCCTCGTGTTTTAAGATTGTTAACTTCACTTACACAGTTTGTTGTCCTAATTTTTTTATGAATGAAATACGCCAATAGGGTGTCAATACTTATGGTACGCGCGGGCTAATGTGTCCCTGGGATGGTCATAAATGGCACGCGGGGGTGAAAAAATATGTATATATATTACCCCTCGATATTATGATTGCCTTGAAGGAAAATAACGTCGGGTACAACTGTTTACTATCTCATCATTTACAATATGATAAGCAAGATAAACTCTACGTACAGGACATAATACCAGTTTAAGTAACGTAAACCTGAGAAGCCTGTATGAATCTTTGTCGGCCCCAATAAAGGGTTTTAAGCTGGAGGGAATATAGGCCCGCGGAGGTGTCTACTGAATGTATATTGAGTCCTTTAATCGATCCCCTCATGTCTGTGAAAGAGTCGCAAATGAAATATTTGCTCTTATCATACTTTCCTTCATCTAAGACACAGTCGTACCATCAATTTACTGTTGCAGAAGTGCCCTTAGAAATCTAATTCTGACTATGCCACGTTATGCTGCCGCTCCGTTGTGGCGGGTTACAACTGTGGTATGATAAAGAATAGAAAGCTAGAAGATCATTAAGGCGTTCGGACTCGGAATTATTCTAGCCATGTGTACCTATTTCATCTCCTTGAAAAAACTCAGCGTGGACACGCAATGTAAAGATACTATTGTTTATGGCTTGCATCGATTAATTAATTTCACGACACATTCACATTATTCACGCCACGCAGTTAGTATACCAGCCGCTCCACATTTTATCAGTACAATACGACGAACTCATCGCAAACCATACCAGTATATATAAATGAATTGTGATGATCAAATAATTGATATAATACTACTGGCAGCCCTAAAAAATAAATTTCAAAGTACAGTAGACTTAATCTCGGTGTGGGCGGGCACCGTGTGGAATACAACTAATCTTGTTTTCCAATTGCTTACCCGTTTGGCATTACAGTGGCTATGGTGCGAAGAACAAACCAAACCAAAATTACCTAATGTTAATATGTATAGTTTTATTGCTTAGTGGGATCGTAAACCTCGGGTACCTTCCAAATCTTTCTTCTTCCTCTCCAACTTCTTATTACCCCAACAATACTTTGTGCCAAGCCCTCAGCCGTGAGTTTTAAAAGCAGAGAAAATATTCCTTCCTCGAAATTTCGTGTTATCATTGACACTTCGGCGTGCAATCAAAAAAGAAGAAAGAACAAAAATAAACAATACACTCGAAAACACGCTCACCATTTTTTCCTTAGAAAAAAAAGACCAGCAAAAGGAGAATCATGTAACGTATTAAATATATTCAACGGTTGCAGCCAACTGACGCGACATAATCGGTCATAACTACCTTCTTGGCTCCTACTCTGGAATTTATTCCTTTGAAATCGGTTGCTGCCTGTTTGTTTCGACATTCATTAATACTAATATTGTATCTATTAGGTTTCGCTCCCACGTGTACGAACGCTGCCGGTTGTGTGACTCGATGCCCTGTCCTCGCTGCCGGGTTGGGAGGTGGTATTCTCTCAATCCTTGCGATTCATCCATATGGATATTATGAACTATTAGCTTCCTTACCTTCTGCTCTCTCACTCTGTTCTTGTGAGAGAAGCCACGAACTGACTTCTAGCTCTTTCTCTTCTCTGTGCCTCTCTCTTTATATTGTCTCGTCCTCGTTCCGTCTCTTTCCCCTCTTTCCTCTCCCCATGAGCAATGACCCCGACTCATCACTCACTCTCCCCTCGTGTTTAGGAGCCCATTTGCCGATGGATGTTCTCTCTGATACCCGAACCCTTCTTCCTCGCATATTCTCTTCGACCCGTCTCTCTCTCTCATCTCTTCTCCCTCTACTCTTTCGCTTCTCTTGCAGTCCGCTCGATCCCATGATGTCCTTAGACTCCTCTCTCGCGTCTCTCCTCTCTCTCCTACTGTGCTCTCTCTTACTACCTCTGATCCATCCTCTCTGACCTTTCTCCTCTCTACATTCTATCTCTCTTTCTCTTAACTCCTCTGCGTCTCTCCCTCTGCCTCTCCTTCTACAATTCCGCTGCCGATCTTCGACCTTACTTCTCTCTCTCTCTCTCTCGTCCTCTTCCCTCTTTTCTTTCACTTCTCTCTACTTTTTTTCACTCTCTCCTCTTTTCTCTCTTTCTCTCTTCTCCCCTCCTCTTCTCTACTCTCGCGTGCGTAACCTCTCTCTCCTCTGTGTTCTCCCTCTTCTGGCTTCTTCCCCCTCCTCCTTCTTTTCTCCCATTTCTTATTTTCCTCTCTCTCCTTTCTGTCTCGTCGTCCTGATCATCCTTAGTGCTCATCTTATTCTCTGTCTCTCTCTCTGCTCTCCTCAACTCTCTCTCTCTCGCTTGCCTCGTCGCCAGTCTGCATAGGACACTCCCGACGGACTTCTTCTCCGCATGGGTTCGACCTCTCCTCTACATCACCTCTTGCGTCGAAGAGCTCTCTGCATGTTCTCGGTGGATCTTTTCTGATCCCTTTTTGGATGTCCTTTCGACTTTCTATTACACTTAGGACAGACTTGGTTCCTTATCTCATCTCCACTTCTACTTCCTCCTCTTCTCTCTCAGATTTTCTTCGACACTCCCTTGTAATTTCCCGTTCTCTCCTCCTCTCGATCTTCCCGTCTTCCTTCTCTGCTCGGCCAGAGATGTACTTCTCCCTCTACCCCGTCCTCGCCACTCTCTCTCTTCTCGTTTCTCTCCATTGTTCGTTCTCCATGGAACTCTGAACCTGCCCCCGTGCCCTCCCGTTTTTTCTTTTTTTTTTCCCTCTCCGCTCCTGCCTGCCTCTAGCAGTTCCTCTGCTACCTCTGCCTCCTCCTCTCTATCTATCGTATACAAACAGTCATGTATGAAATATATATATATTATAATATATACTATACTCACTGTCACTATACTTATATATTATAATCAGTTATAATATTGTGTGCGTGTGTGTGACTCTCGCTGAGTTGTATGTGTGTGTCTTGCTGTGGGATCTTGATTAGTGGTCGGTAGACCGATCTACTGACTCCTCAGCGCAGTCTTATGGAGTTTGACAATTGTGTGTGTGTGTGTGTGCCCTTGATGTCCGTGTCCCTTCTTGTGGTGAGTGTGTGCCTGTTGCTGTGTGTGGAATTGTGTGTGCTTGAAGGTCTTGACTGAGACTTTTCCATGACCTACCTTAGTGGAATCGCGGTTGTGGCTGTAGTAACGTAAATGTATAATTACATACCACATAGACATGACCCACCCATAAAACATAGAGCGACCCCCCCCCCCCTTTACATGCATACCATGTGTGTCTCAACACACCATCCACATTACTATTATCCTATAATTCATACTATATATATATACTAAATATTCATATATATATATAGGACATACATACATTACTATATTATATATATATATATACAACACCTACATTCACCCTAGTATTGTATTATATATATACCCATACTCATCTACCTTAGTAATATGTGTGGTGTGCTGTGTTGATCCTTACGATCTGTGTGCGCTGTGTGCCCGTGTTCCTCGTCATCCCTGTGATGTCGTGTGTTGAGTTGTGTGTGTCCCGTTGTGTGCGTGCCCCTGACTGTGGTTGTTGTGTCCTGTATTGTGATGTGCTGTTGCTAGTCTGTACCCACTGTGTGGTGTGTGTGTGTGAATGGGTACCTACATATGTATATGTATGTCATCCCTAATTATAAAGAATATATATCACACGTAGTTGTGGTATGTTGTGTTTGTTCAAACGTATCTGCGAGCACCACATAGTTATAAGCTAATCCACGCAAGCATGGAGCCCCAAGAGAAGCAATAGAGGGCATCCAGTAATCCGATACCCCTCATGCAAATAAATGAACACAGTTTACGCGTCCCGCCAACCACCCCGAATCATACTGCAAACACGCTTCCTCGGATATACTTACACTTAAAGAGCCGTAGACAGCTGGGACCACCATATGCTTGCTGTCGGCAACAGGGAAACCGATTTACCAATCAAACTGATGTTATCGAAGCTTTTTTTCGTTTTGCTTTTTGCATCTCACCAACACAACTAAGGTAAGGTGAGAGACCACGCGGTGTGAGCTTATTGCAGCGCCTCTAGCCTCGAATCGTTGACCCGTATGTGGTCGTTATTTTTCGTTCTATTATTGTAAATGAGCACCAAAGAGTTGGGCTTCCGAGTCTGGAAAATGCAGATTCTGTTAAACTCAATCCCTAATTTGCATAGCGTGTAGATGTGGCCCGTTGAGGTATTCGATACACAGTTCGCTTTTTAATCTATTGTCGTCGAAATAATGAGTCATTCCGCCACTACGATGTTCAAAGCCGAGACTTTACGATCAACTTGAAACAAAGCCACTACTATGTACTATTGTCTGTGTTTTCGTCTCTATTCTCTTATTCAAGAAAAAAAAAAAAAGAGAAAACAAATCTATAAACAAAAACCAAACAAAACTTTCGTATACATTTTTTTGTTCTTTACGTATCTATGTGTAAATCTGTGAATGAAAGCAATGCAGGTGTTTATTCTCTCTCTCCCTCTCTCTTCTCTCTCTCTCTCTCTCTCTCTCTCTCGTGCTCTCTCTCTCTCTT